GAGGCACCGGTAGCCGTGCTGCTGCTACAGGCAGCAGCCTCTCCTGCTCCTGCTGCTGCTGCTGCTGCTGCTGCTGCTGCTGCTGCGGAAGCGATCGAAGGACTAAGGGAGGAAGACTCAGATTTACAGGGTAGGGGCCCGCTGCCTCTGCCGCTGCTGCTGCTGCTGCTGTTGCTGCTGCTGCAGTGTTGCTGCTATTGCTGCTATTGCTGCTGCAGCGCGACCTACACCCAGGGCTCGGGGGCCCTTCTCCCTCGAGCCGCTGCCGCTTCGGCAGCATCTCCTAAACCCTAAACCCTAAACCCTAAACCCTAAATGCTTGTTTTCTTTTACATCCACCTCCCTCACAAAGCAGAATAAAGCCTTAAACGCAGTAGAAGGACGGAACAACTAAGGGAGGCCCAGCCCACGGCCCCCAAACCCTAAACCCTAAACCCTAAACCCTAAACCCTAAACCTTAATCAACAAACCCTAAATTAAAAGCCCTAGAGGAGTAAAAAGAAAAGAAATTTAATAAACACCTTAAACAATAAACTCTAAGGCCCCACGGGGGCCCCCTACGGCAGCCCCACAGGGGCCCCCTGTGCTGTGTAGGGTCAATAGGGTTTAGGGTTTAGGGTTTAGGGTTTAGGGGTTTATAAGGGACTTATGTTTCTTTTAATTCTTTATCTCTGTTCTATTAAGACCCTCTATTTCTTAATGATGGGTCTTCGGGGTTTGTTATTAGAACAATGTTTATTGCTGCTAAGAAAGAGAGAGAGAGAGACAGAGAGAGAGAGAAGCAGCAAATATATTAAACAATCTTTTTGGGGCTGGCAGGGGTTTAAGTGCATGCATGCTTTGCTTTTAATTCGAGGTAAAGACAAAGAAAGCCTCCCGGCTGTATCGCCTCGCATGCATACAGATTTGCTGCTGCTATCAATACCTACAGTATTACTGCATGCACCCAAAATACTGCATGCATGCATGCATGCATGCATGCATGCATGCATGCATGCATGCATGCATGCATGCATGCACAGATATAACAGAGGAGGAAGAGGAGACACAGGTAGCCGCGCTGCTGCTACAGGCAGTAGCCTCTCCTGCTGCTGCTGCTGTTGCTGTTGCTGCTGCTGCTGCATGTACATGTACACATGCACGCATGCATGCATGTATGTGTACAGCCCCGCACACCTTCTAATCTGTTCAAGAGACAGAGACAGACCCTTAAAAATAAAGCTGAGGCAGAGCGCAGCTGTATTTCTCTTTGTTTATGTTTTTATATTCATAGCTACAACGCTTACAAGAAGAGCCTTCATATACCCCCTCCTAAACCCTAAACCCTAAACCCTAAACCGTACAGTGGAGAAGACTGTACGGTCTAGGGTTTAGGGTTTAGGGTTTAGGGTTTCTCTCCTCTTTGTTTATAATTAATTTAATTGTTTACATAAAAAATATTCTTTTGTGCAGATACACCGGAGATAAAACAGATGCTGCTTATTTATTAAATTAAACATTTTATTTATTTATTTATTTATTTACTGCACAAAATATAGTTTTACTTAATATATATAAATAAATATACGGGCTAGGGTTTAGGGTTTAGGGTTTAGGGTTTTGCTTTCTTTGTTCTTACTTACTCTCCACTTCAAACTGTCTCCTGAAGAAGCTCTTGAAGCCTTTAGTTGCTACTGGGCCCTCTTTATTAATTATCAGGGTTTAGGGTTTTAGGGTTTACTGCTTTAGGGTTTAGGGTTTGCTTGACGTCAGGTGTATGTGCCGCTGCTGCTAGTACTGCTGCTGCTGCTGCTGCTGCAGCTGTTGCTGCTGCTGCTGCTGCAGCTGTTGCTGCTGCTGCAGCTGCAGCGAAGGAGAAAGGAGACAGGAGAATAAATCTGCGTCCTGTTTGGAGACACCTAAAGAAGGCTTTCTTCACTCTATAGTAAACCCTAAACCCTAAACCCTAAACCCTAAACCCTAAACCCTAAACCCTTAACAAATGCGCTTTTCCCCGGCTCCCAAACCCTAAACCCTAAACCCTAAACCGTAGGTGGTAGGGGGCGAAGATAAATTTATTCTCAGCTGCATGCAGCCCTAAAAACAGCTATTGTTTATAATGTTAATATATGCAGCACGAGGGCTTCAGTCTCTCTAGCATGCATATGAATAGACTTTGCTGCTGCATTTGCTGCAGCAAGCTGTCTCCTTTCTCAGCTTCTTCTGTCTCCTCTTAGGCTGCTAAGCACAGAGCAGCAATGCTGCTGCACATCAGCAGCAGCTAAAAACTTTCTTCTGTCTCTGCTGCTGCAGCGGGGCCCCCAACATACAATATAGGGTTTATATTAAACCTCTCTCTAAGGGTTTATTCATTAAGAAGCCTGCTGTTTGCTGCAGCAAATAAGCAGCAGCTTATTAATTTACTGTCCCCTTACTCGCCTCCCTGCAGCAGCAAAAATAACTGTAGCAGCACAACTCAATACCTGCTGCTGCTGCTGCTGCATTTATTGAAGCATTTTCCTTGTCTACAGCTCTTGCTGCTGCTCTTTATTTGTCTGGTGCTGCAGCCCCGCAGGCAGAAAGCAGCCGCAGCAATACCGGCGCAGCAGCAGCTGCTGCAGCCGCTGCAGCAGCAGCCGCAGCTGCTGCTGCCGCTGCTGCTGCTGATGACGTTGCTCTAGTTCGCCTTAAAAGCCCTTAATAATCTTCTATGATTAGGGGTTTGTGTTTTAAACCCCTTTTGTTTTTGTAGAAGGAGGGCTAGTGCGAGCAGCAATTGCAGCAATTCCTACTGGCTGCTGCTGCAGCACCCCGTGCAGCACGACAGCAGCAGCAGCAGCAGCAGCAGCAGCACGCGTGAGAGGGAGCCCCTGCTGCTGCTCCGTTGCTGCTGTGCTGTTATGCCTCACAGACTATTCCTATTACATTCTGTTGCTGTGCTTCCGGCCGGCTGCCTTGTCTGTTGCTGCAGCACATCCAGGTGCAGCAGGAGGAGCAGCAGCGGCAGCAGCAGCAGCAGCAGCGGCGGCAGCAGCAGCAAAGTCTGCAGGCCTACCTTGCTGTAGGCGTCCTTTCTTTGTTTTCTTTTAAACGCCGTGTGCAGCAGGGCTTCCAGTTGGCTCCGAGAGGCTTCTTTGGTTTGAAGGGCAGCAGCAGCAGCAGCAGCAGCAGCAGCAGCAGCAGCTGCGGCCGCAGCACAAGGAGCATTCGACGCAGCAGCAGCAGCGGCAGCTGCAGCAGCAGCAGCAGAAGCATTCCGAACAATTTTTATCAATCTGTTTACGCACTAGAAAGGCTCCTATCGTCTATTGGCTTCCCCCTTGTCCACCAGCAGCTGCAGCAGCAGCAGCAGCAGCAGTAGCAGCAGCAGCAGCAGCAGCAGCAGCAGCTGCGGCGGCAGCAGCAGCATCAGCTTGCCTGGTTGGTATTAGGGGCCTCCTCTAGCAAAGCAGGAAGGCCCCGTGTCTTGTTGGGTTGGGCGTTGGCTGCTGCTGCCTTGCAGCAGCAGCAGCAGCAACAACTGGCTGCTGCTGCTGCAGCACGAAGCAGCAGCTTCAGCAGCATGCAGCCCCCAGCGGGAAGGTTCGCCCCTCGGGTCTCCAGACAGCGGGGCGCCCTTGGGGTTGCAGCAGATAGTGCTGCAGATGATCAAGCTGCTGCACCCCCGCACCATCCAGCAGCGGCTGCTGCTGTTGCTGCTGCTGCTGCTGCTGCTGCAGGAGGTGCAGCAGCAGGTCCTCTCCGCGTCTCTCGCCCGCGTTCTATTACCCGTGTAAATCCTTACCCAGGAGCCCCCCAGGGTGCTGCTGCCTTAGGTGAGGGGCTTCCTCGTCAGTTTGCTGCTGCTTCTGCTGCAGCAGATACAGCTTATTGCTCACCGTTATATCAGTTAGCTTCCAGGTTGGGGGCTGAGGAGCTGCGCAGTTTGCTGCTGCTGCAGTGCAAGCTGCAGCAGCAGCAAACGCCACAGGGCCCGGCTCCAGTAGCGGCAGCATCTGGCGCCGCAGGAGCAGCAGCAGCAGCAGCAGCTGCTGCTGCTGCTGCTGCTGCAGCGGACGGTGACTCTGTGGGGCGTCGCGTGCTGCGGCTGCTGCCGTTTAAAGGTCGTAGTTGGAGGGGTGTTGCAGAGGAAGTAGAGAAGCTGGGTCCAGCAGCAGCAGCAGCAGCAGCAGCAGGGGGCCTCCGCAGCAGCAGGAAACGCAAGCGTGCAGCAGCAAGGCTTGATAGGCTGCATCTGCTGCGCTGCTTGCAGTGTGGTAGAGTGCATACAGCTGGCAGCAAATTCGGAGACTATGTGCTTTGCTCTGCATGCGGTGCGTCTGATTTCGCTGTTGGGGTTGAGCTTGCTGCTGCTGCTGCTGCTGCAGCAAGAGACAGCAGCGGCAGCGAGTAATCACCGAAACAAGCATGTACATGCATGCTCCTCCTCTTCAAGCAGCAGCAGCAGCGGAAGCCGCAGCAGCAGCACCAGCAGCAGCAGCAGCAGCAGCAGCAGCAGCAGCAGCAGCGCATGCTGCAGTAGTACAGACAGCAATCTCTTTGTCGCTTTCTCCCCACCCTTCAGCCGATATACAGAAGGGCAGCAGCAGCAGCAGCAACAGCAGAAACAGCAGCAACAGCAGCTGCTGCTGCTGCTGCTGCTCCACGTTGGAATTGTGTGTAGCAGCAGCACCTCTTATTTTGTTTATTCCCCGCTTCGTGCCTCCGCTCCCGAGTGCAGCAGCAGCAGCTGCTGCAGCAGCTGCAGCAGCAATTGCTACAGTAGCAAGCGCTGCCGCAGCAGCGGCATTTGCTGCAGCAGCACTTGCTGCGCTGCAGCTGGGAGGGAGGTGTGGGGCCGCTTGCTGCTGCGGCGGTTGGCAGCAGCAGGCGCTGCATCAAGCTAAGCAGCAGCAGCAGCAGCAGTTGCAGCAGCAGTCCCTGCTGCTGCTGCTGTTGCCGCTGCTGCAGAACAGCTTTTGCTGCAGCAGCTGCAGCAGCAGCAGCTGCTGCCGCTTTTTAACTTGCTTGCGCTTCTGTGGTCCTGCATTAGCAGTGGGTGTAGGTATAGAGAGCAGCAGCAGCAGCAAATATAGAGAAACAGACAGACATAGAGACGTATAAATTAGATATATAGAGCAGCAAACATTAACTAGAGAGAGGCAGCAGCAGCTGCTGCTGCTGCTGCTGTAGAAGCAGCTGCTTAAATTCTCTAAGACGTGACGCTCCAGCAGCAACAGCAAAGGCACGGATTAAGAAAATAGATAAAACAATTTATGCAAAACACTGCTGCTGCTGCTGCTGCTGCTGCTGCTGCTGCTGCTGCTGCTGCTGCTGAAGGCAGCCAACGCGAGGTGCTGCAGCAAAGGCAGCTGCAGCAAAATCACGTGCCAGCAGCTGCGCTGAAGAAGCAGCATTTGCTGCAGCGGCAGCATCCGAAGCAGCAACACGTGCAGCAACATCTGCTGCAGCGGCAGCTCCCTTGGCTGCTACTCACGGTGTTGCTGCCTGCCCCACAGGGGGCTTCTCTTCAGCAGCAGCTGCTGCTGCAGCATCAGCAGCTGCCGCATTAGCAGCTGCTGCAGCAGCATCAGCAGCTGCCGCATTAGCAGCTGCTGCAGCATCATTGGCTGCTGCAGCATCAGCAGCTGCTGCGGTATCAGCAGCAGCAGCTGCAGCAGCATCAGCAGCAGCTGCAGCAGCAGCAGGGTTGATTAGACTGTATGCTTGGGTTTGAGAAAGTCGAAGGGTAATTCATGCGGCTTACAGGGCGGGGGGCTGTCTCTAAACCATTTGTGCTGCAGCGCAGCAGCAGCAGAAATGCGCTTGTTCGGGTCCAGCTGCAGCAGCTGCAGCAGCAAATCAATGCTGCTGCTGCTGCTGAAGGGCAGCAGCTGCTTTAGATTCTTTGCTGCAACAGCAGAGAAAGCGAAGTAAGACGGCAGCGAATCAACATTAGGCCAGAGAGGAAGAGATCCTGCTGCTGCTGCTGCTGCTGTTGGTGCTGCTGCAGCAGCACCACCCTGCCCACCGCTGCTCCTGCTGTGGCCCTGCTGCTGCTGCTGCTGCTGCTGCTGCAGCGGCGCAGGCTGTGGGGTTCCTAGAAGAGAAAAAATGCGGCAGAGTTGATCGACATCATTCGAACCTGGAAACAAAGCGCGACCTGCAGCAGCAGCAGCAGCAGCAGCAGCAGCAGCAGCAGCAGCAAAAAGAGCACAGACAGTAGAAGTGACGGATAGAAGAAGGCCTCTCCCAGTCGATGAGCAGCAGCAGCAGCAAGGGAGAGAGGAAGCACCAACAGCAGCAGCAGCAACAAAACTTTAACACGCAGAAACAGCAGCTACGGCCGCAACAGCAGCAGCAGCAGGAACAGCAGCATCAGCAGCAGGAACAGCAGCATCAGCAGGATCAGCAGCATCAGCAAGATCAGCAGCAGCAGCAGCAGCAGGATCAGCATCAGCACGAACAGCAGCATCAGCAGGCTCAGCAGCATCAGCAGGAACAGCAGCATCAGCAGGATCAGCAGGATCAGCAGCATCAGCAGGATCAGCAGGATCAGCAGCATCAGCAGCAGGATCAGCAGCAGCAGCAGCAGCAGCAGCAGCAGCAGCAGCAGCAGCAGGAGATTGAACCTGTGATGAGTTCGAAGAGGATGCAGCCGACGCTCCAAAGGTCAACTTTATCTGCATATCTGTCTGCACCCCACAACAACTCGGGGGCCCTATACCACAGAGTAACAACTTTAGGAGTCATTAGCTCGCGTTTGCTGCCTAGCTGCTGCAGCAGCATCTGCTGCTGCTGCATCATCATCTGCTGCTGCTGCTGCTGCTGTTTCGGCTGTTGAGAGGACGAGTTCGGCGGCTGGGAAGGACTCTGCTGCTGACCTTGCTGCTGCTGCTGCTGCTGCTGCTGTTGTTGTTGCTGTTGTTGTTGTTGTTTCTGCTGCATCTGCTTGCGCTGCTGCTGGCGCTGCTGTGCTCTAGCAAGAGCAGCAGCAGCAGCAGGAGCAGCAGGAGCAGCAAAGGCCCTTGCAAGACCAAAGTCTGCTAATTTGCATATGCCTCCCTCAGCAACAAATATATTAGCTGGAGATATATCCCTATGCAGCAGATACCGCGCATGCAGCTGCTGCAGCGCCTGCAGCAGCTGCAGCACGATGCACTTAACCTGCGGCTCTGATAGACGAGCGCTGCCGTCCAGCGCTCTTCTTATATCGCCTTTCATCTCCTCCATTACTAAGCAGATGCTTCCTTGTTCTGTGAATACATCCAGCAAGCCCATCAAATGCTGCTGCTGCTGCTGCTGCTGCTGCTGCTGTTGCTGCTGCTGCTGCTGCTGCTGGCGAGGCTGCGGCTGCAACTCCCGCATCACCTTCAACTCTCTTATTGTTGTGAAGTGGAGGCCCACCTGCCCTACGCTCTGTCTAAGCAGCATCTTGTTGTTGCTTATACTGCTGCTGCTGCTGCTGCTGCTGCTGCTGCTGCTTCTGCTGCTGCTGCAGGTAGCTGAGTTTACTTTCTTTATCGCTACGTGCTGCTGCAGCTGCAGATCCCAGGCCCTCTCTACGCGACCGTACGTTCCCTCGCCTAAGAACGTGTCCGCTAATACATAGCGGCCTCCTCCTGTCGTGCGCCTCTGCTGCTGCTGCTGCTGCTGCTGCTGCTGCTTCTGCTGCTGCTGTTGCTGCTGTTGCTGCGGCGGAGGAGGGTTGGAAGGGGCTGGAGCATCAAGGCCGGCTTCCGTCTTCAAACGCTTGCGAATGTGTCCTTCTGCTGCTGTTGATGCTGCTGCTGCTGCTGCTGCTGCTGATGGCTGGACTGCAACTGCAGCAGGGTCGGCAGAGTCTGTTGCTCCTGCTGCAGTAGCTGCAGGAGCAGCAGCAGGAGCAGCAGCAGGAGCAGCAGCAGGAGCAGCAGCAGGCGCAGCAGCAGCAGGTGCTGCTGCTGCTGCTGACGGTGCAGACTCCTTCATACTTGAAATGATGCCTCTGCACCTTCGTTTGCTGCTTCTGCTGTTGCACCTAACTTGCTGCTGTTCATGCTGCTGCTGCTGCGGCTCCCGTCCCTGTTGCTGGTGCCCCAGGTGCCGCTGCAGCTACAGCTGGTGCGGCCTTCTTACGATGTGCTGCTGCGCGTTGCTGTTATTGCTATTGCTGTTGCTGCTGCTGCTGCTAGTTGCTGCTAATCCTCAAGCCTGCACGGGGCGCGGGTGTATATACAGCAGGAAAAATTAAAGTTAACGTACTGGAAGTCATAAATCAAGAAGAAGAGAAGCTCAGAGTAAGGGTTTAGGGTTTAGGGTTTAGGGTTTAGGGTTTAGGGTTTAGAGTAGGGTTTAGGGTTTAGGGTTTAGGCAGAGCCTTCGTTGACTTGCGGTAGGTCCCTGTACACCGCAACCTCATTTCCTCTTGTGGGGTTTGAATTGCTGCAGCAGATTCAACAAAATAAATATTCATATCCGATGTATTTGCAAATACCCCGCAGCTGCTGCATGCAGCAAGGCCCGAGCAGCAGCAGCAGCAGCAGCAGCAGCAGCAGCAGCAGCGGCAGCAGCAGCAGGGAAACAACAAAGCAATTTGTCAGTGACTTCCGGTGTATTTCCACAAGCAAATTAGAGAAGTCAGCACAGGGAGTAATACAACTTCTTTGCTGCTGCTGCTGCTGCTGCTGCTGTGCTTGCGCCGCCCTGTCGGCAGCGGCTTGGGCAGCAGCAGGAGCAGCAGCAGCAGCAACAGCATCAGCAACAGCACCTGCAACACCAACAGCAGCACTAGAGGCTTCACTCGCAGGAGCAGCAACGCTGATGGATGAAGCAACTATCAGACAAAGGCAGCGGCTGCAACAATAACCGCAGCAGCAGCAGCAACAGCAACAGCAACAGCAGCAGCAGCAGCAGCAGCAAGCAGCAACAGCTTCTACTGCAGCAAAAACAAGAGCTACCGCCATGTTGCTCTCAGGTGGTGCCTGTCTTCGGCGTTTGCTGCTGCAGCAGCAACGGCTGTTGCTGCAGCAGCCTCTGCTGCAGCGGCAGCAGAGGACCTCAAACCGATTTATAGCAGCAGCAGCAACAGCAACAAGCGCAGATGCACCCACAGCAGCAGCAGCAGCAGCAGGACTCACCACACGAAGAGCAGCAAGCTTGGGGTGTCTGTACACCTCAGAGTTGTACAGATGGCCGACCTCCGCAGCAGTCAGTGCCAGCCCTGCTGCTGCTGCTGCTGCTGCTGCTGCAACAGCAGCAGATCCTGTAGCATCCAGAGCAGCAGCAACAGGCCGTGCAGCACCAGTAGGTACAAGTGTAGCAGCAGCAGCAGAGTCGCCAACAGCACCATGCGCATCAGCCGCAACAGCAGCACCAGCAGCAGCAGCAGCAGCAACAACAGCAGCAGGACCAGCAACAGCAGCACTCACCGCAGCAGCAGCCACAGCAACAAGACCAGCCCCAGCAGCAGCAGCAGCATCAACCACAGCAGCATCAACCACAGCAGCAGCAGCAGCAGGAGGAGGAGCCTTGCGTGTGTCTTTGCTGCGTCTGGGTGGCAGCATAAACTCTCGCTCTTTGCTGCAGCAGTTTTATAACTCTCTTCCTATTCGCAGGAGGTTCAGAAAAGCGCTGAAGAAAGGGGTTTTAGTTTGGTGTAAAGGGCAGCTAAAGCTGCCTCCTGTTGCTGCTGAGGGCTATCCCCTCAGCAGCAAACTGCTGCCGCCGCAGCACAAGCAGCAGCACATGCAGCAGCAGCAGCTGCAGCGATGCAGCAAACCATTCAAAGGAAGAATACAAGACCTTAAAGCAGAAAGAATTTGGTTTCAAGATTAATCTGCTGCTGCTGCTGCTGCAACAACAGCTATGTTGCTGTTGCTGCTGCTGCTGCAACACCTGCTATGTTGCTGCTGCTGCTGCTGCTGCAACACCAGCTATATTGCTGCTGGTACCGCTGCTGCTACAACACCAGCAATGTTGAGGCTGTTGCTGCTGCAACACCAGTTATATTGCTGCTGCTGCTGCCGCTGAAGAGGATGCTGTTGGCGCTGCAGTAGCAGCAGGCAGTGATGATGCAGCAGCAGATGGTGCAGCAGCAGCAGCAGCAGCAGATAGTGATGCTTCAGTAGCAGTGCTGCAGCAGCAGCAGATATTGACTCTGCAGCAGCAGCAGACGATGATGCTGCAGCAGCAGCACTTGTGATGCTGCAACATCAGCATCTTATTCCTGTGCAGCAGCAGCATCGGATGCTGCTGCTGCAGCAACAGCACTTTAGCTGCTGCAGCAACAGCACTTTAGCTGCTGCAGTAGCAGCACTTTTGCTGCTGCTGAGCCGGTGGCTTCTGACCAACCTATTTTTTTGGGCTTCAGATTTACGGGTTTAGGGTTTAGGGTTTAGGGTTTAGGGTTTAGGGTTTTGGCTCGGGGTAGAACATACAGTGTTTAGGGTTTCGGGTTTAGGGTTTAGGGTTTAGGGTTTAGGACTCGCGGGGCACAACAGCTTCTTCTGAGTTGTCAGCTTGCGGCCCTGCAGAAGCAGCAGCACAGCAGCAGTAGCAACAGCAGCAGCAGCAGCAGCAGCAGCAGCGTATGGTGATGTTGCAACAGCAGCACATAATGAGCAAGCCCAGCAGCAGCACAGCAGCAGTAGCAACAGCAGCAGCAGCAGCAGCAGCCCCACCACCACTAACAGCTGCAGCAGCATCACCACCCGCATCAGCATCAGCAGCAGCATTAGCAGCATCATCAGCAGCAGCATCATCAGCATCAGCAGCATCAGCATTAGCAGCAGCATCAGCAGCAGCACCAGCAGCATCATCAGCAGCAGCATCAGCAGCAGCATCAGCAGCATCATCAGCAGCATCATCAGCAGCATCATCAGCAGCATCATCAGCAGCATCATCACCAGCATCAGCAGCATCAGCATCAGCAGCAGCAGCAGCAGCAGGATGACGATACTGTGAAGGAGCCTGGCTTTGACAGCAAAGTGGTTTCTTAGCGTTCTTGCTGCTGCATTTAAGCTGCACCAAATTTCTTCAGCTGATATACCTCCGACCAGCTTCCCTCGACGGCCAGTCACCCCACAACGAGCAGCTGCACATACACCCCACACTTCTCCTGCTGCTCCTGCTGCTGCTGCTGCTGCTGCTGCTGCTGGTACTGGTGGTGGTAGTTTTGGTTTGCTTGCGAAGGTGGGTGTCCGCCTGCTGCTGCTGCTGCTGCTGCTGCTGCTGCTGCTGCTGGTACTGCAGGGGATGAACGAAGCAAAGTGATGTACTGTATAAGAAAGTGCTGCTGCGGGAAGTGCAATGTAGCAGCAGCAGCAGAAACAGCAACAGCAGCAGAAACAGCAGCAGCAGCAACAGCAGCAGCAGCAGCAGCAGCAAGTGAATAGAAATACCTTCATTGACGAGGGTTTCTAGAATGGCTGCTTGGTCCCACACCTGAGGCAGCAGCATCTCCACCGCCTCCGCTTGCTGCTGCAGCAGCTGCATCTCATCCTGCTGCTGCTCCTGCTGCTGCTGCTGCTGCTTCTGCTGCTGCTCTGTGCAAAGGTATGCAGCCCATGCCAGCATTATGCATAACCCGTACGCCCCGTGGTTAGCCGTGGTTGCGACTGCATACAAACAGAACCAAAGTTAGGGTTTAGGGTTTAGGGTTTAGGGTTTAGAGTTTAGAGTTTAGAGTTCAGAGTTCAGGTTTTAGGGTTTCATGCTTAGGGTTTAGGGTTTAGGATTGAAGATTGACGGTTTACGGCTTCAGGCGTATTGCTCATTGCTAAGGGTTTAGGGTTTAGGGTTTAGGGTTTAGGGTTTAGGGTTTAGGGTTTACTGATGGTGTAGTCTGCTGTTACATCAGTAGCGAGCCATTCTCCGTCTTGCACATTTTCTTTCACCGCTTCCTTTATCCGCCCCATTCCCAACTCGTTGCCTGAGCACATTAGGGTTTAGGGTTTAGGGTTTAGGGTTTAGGGTTTAGGGTTTAGGGTTTAATATTCGTATTATCAGGAGCGTTCTATGGTTTGACCTATTCAGCGCTGTCTGGTGCAGAAGTATTTTTGTTTCTGGAGGCCTTCACGATTTAGGGTTTAGGGTTGTTTAGGATTGTTTAGGATTGTTTAGGGTTTAGGGTTTTTTAGGGTTTAGGGCTTTTAAGGGTTGTTTAGTGTTTAGGGTTTAGGGTTGTTTAGTGTTTAGGGTTGTTTAGGGTTGTTTAGGGTTGTTTAGGGTTGTTTGTTGTTTAGGGTTGTTTGTTGTTTGTTGTTTGTTGTTTAGGGTTTAGGGTTTAGGGTTTAGGGTTTAGGGTTTAGGGTTTAGGGTTTAGGTACCAAGGGAGCCAATGGTGGTGGTGCGTTTGCGTTTGGGGTGTACAGACACCTCATTGCTCCACTCAAACAACAGCGAGAAGTCGGCCTGCCAGAGGGTAGTGCTCGTGACATTAGGCGCCCAGTACTCTCCTTCCTTGCCTCGCCCCGGCCTGCAAACCCTAAACCCTAAACCCTAAACCCTAAACCCTAAACCCTAATGGAGCATTCTCGCGCCCGGGCCGAAGCTAGAGGACGCTGCATAAACCCTAAACCCTAAATCATCAACCATTAACCGTTAGGCTAGTAGAAAAGAATCTATCAGTTTTGTTTTATGCACAAGTATCTAGGGTTTAGGGTTTAGGGTTTAGGGTTTAGGGTTTAGGGTTTAGGGTATAAGGTTTAGAAAATAAATTTCAGAGCTTAAAGTATTAATTTTAGGGCTTAGGATTGTTTAGGGTATAAAGGTTAGGGTTTAGGGTTGTCTAGGGTTTAGGGTTTAGGGTTGTTTAGGGTTGTTTAGGGTTGTCTAGGGTTTAAGGTTTAGGGTTGTTTAGGGTTGTTTAGGGTTTAGGGTTTAGGGTTTAGGGTTTAGGGTTTAGGGTTTAGGGTTTAGAGTTTAGGGTTTAGGGTTACCTGTGACGAGTATAACGTGCTTGTGCAGTCTCCACAGTGCAGCAGCGAGGGCGCATGCGCCTCCTGTTGTGTCTGTGTCTGTAGGCGGCCACATGTTGGTGTTGCTGCTGCTTCCTAGCAGCAGCACAATTGTTTTGGTTTGAGAGTTGAGTATTTCTGCTGCTGCTTTCGCTAGATCTCCTTTGATGGCTGGGGTGTATAGGCAGCTTCTATTTTTTATCTTTGTATGCGTTGGTCGCTCTAATAAACATAACTTTTCAAGCGAAAGACCTTCAGAAGCAAATAATGAAACATCTACATTAGAGAAGTCTGACCAAGGCCATACTTTCTGTCCTTTCTTTGATGCCTCTGCTGCTGCTGCTGCTGCTGCTGCTGCTGCTCCTGAGAGCGGTTTTGCTGCTGCTGTTGCTGCTTCCATCGTGCAGAAACACACCTCTAAACCCTTTTATTTAAATATCTACTTATAAGGAATCAATACAAAGGATATTTCAGTTAAATAATGCAACAAAGTGCTGTTGCTGCAGCAGCAGCAGCAGCAGCAGCAACTCAGGTGTCTGGAGCTGCTGCTGCAGCGCCGCTCAAGCAGCAGCAGCAGCACCAACGGGGGTTTAAAAGAAAAGGAAATTACATTTAAAATGCATATTTTAATTTATTTAAATGCATTTCAAATTTCTTTTAATTATTTTTTCTGCATTTTGTAACAGAGATATGCAGACGCAGCTGCACATACACCCCACGGCCCTCTCCGCTCCTAACCAATGGCTCTACTACTTTATCTGTTTGCTGCAGCATTCAGAAGAACGAAATAAATTAAATAAATAATAAATAATAAATTATTTTTATTATCTTTACTCAATAAAATGCATTTATTTTTATTATTGTTGCGGTGTAGCAACCTAATGAAATGCAGCCGGTTTGCATCATGCTGCTGCTGCTGCTGCTGCTGCTGTTGCTGTTGCTGCTGCTGCTCCAGTAGCTCTGCAGCACTACCAAGCCAAGCATTCAACTCCAAAGGCAAACTCTTCTGTAGCTAGCTGTAGCTAGCTGTAGCTAGCTGCAGCTAGCTGTAGATTGTCTAGAGTCGTCAGCACCCCCAGAGCGACCGCGGGCGCAGCGACAATGAAATAGAAGAAAATAGACAAAATAAATTAAATAAAATAAAGTAAATGAATACAAAAGAATAAAAAATAGATTAAAACAAAATTAAATAAAAAAGAGTTAAATAAAACGTATTATATCAACACAGCGAGATAAACAAAAACACAAATAAAAAGAGAGAAACAAAATAAGTAAAATAAAAGAAAGTAAATGCAGAAACTTTAAAAGAATAAACAAATAATAATAAATTATATTAAATAAAATAATAAATTATATTAAATAAAACAAACAAGAGAGTGCAAACACCTGAACAACAGCACCAGCGACCTGCATAACAGCTGCAGCAGCTGCAACAACAGCAGCATGTCTTGCTGCAGCAGCTGCAGCAACAGCAACAGCAACATGCCTTGCTGCAGCAGCTGCAGCAACAGTAACAGCAGCATGTCTTGCTGCAGCAGCTGCAGCAACAGCAACAGCAGCATGTCTTGCTGCAGCAGCTGCAACAACAGCAGCATGTCTTGCTGCAGCAGCTGCAGCAACAGCAACAGCAGTATGTCTTGCTGCAGCAGCTGCAGCAACAGCAACAGCAACATGTTTTGCTGCAGCAGCTGCAGCAACAGCAACATGTTTTGCTGCAGCAGCTGCAGCAACAGCAGCATGTTTTGCTGCAGCAGCTGCAGCAACAGCAGCATGTCTTGCTGCAGCAGCTGCAGCAACAGCAACATGTTTTGCTGCAGCAGCTGCAGCAACAGCAACATGTTTTGCTGCAGCAGCACGTTTAGAAGCAAAAATGCGTAGTGCAGAAAAACTAAAAAATGCAGCGCCGTCCGGCAGTCACTCTTAAGTTGGTGTATATATTAATAGATAATAAATATATATAAATCTATATATACTATATATATTTATAATATATATTATATATATGCCTGTGCTTATACATATTATATAGATATATATATGTGCATACGCTTAGAAGTAAGCATATCTGTATATATGCATCTACAGACGTATATATATATATATA